AGCCTCCAGATCCACCAGACAGAGCACATTGGACAACCTCATCATACCGAGGCCCCAACTGGAAGTGTACAGGCGGTCACTGAGGTACTCGGGGGCGACTGTGTGGAACTCCTTGCCACCACATGTACGTGCAGCCCAGTCACTGGGAACATTTAGAAGACTGATAACGAACTTGGACTGATAACGGACTGATGATTTACTATTTATTTTTGTATTATATTTTTTTTTGCATTTTGTTTTGATTTTGTATTATATTTTGGTTTGATTTGTAATCCGTGACCCCGCCCTCACCTTCGACCTTGTTGAAAAGCGGTCATATGTATTGTACCGAACAAGCTTTCGAGTTTAAATAAAGGCTTACTACTACTACTACTACTATTATTAGGTCAGAATTACACCAAGTTTTTATATTTCAGTCCATACCATGGTATTGATGAAATATATTGTGTTCTCTCATGTTTCTTCTTCTCCTTCTCCTCCTGCCAAACAGTCAAAGGGATTCAACTCCGCCATCATTCAGCCAAATGACTTAAAATTTGGCATGGAGGTAGAGTGGGCCAATACCCCCAGGCGTTTTTGTCATTTTTTTGATACATGCCTTTGAAAAATTTTTATGAAGGTTTTTTGGGGCATTTTTCGCCAAAAAATGGATTTTTGGATCCTGAGCCCTGGTTTTACAACCAAATGATCTGAAATTTGGTATAAGGGTACCTTGAACATGTGTCTACAGAATAGCAGTCACATATTTGGCATACACCACTTCCAAATGACTCATTTGGGGACTTTAATGGCTATTTTCAGCAAAAAAAGTGCCAAAAGTGCTATACCCGTTCCATGTTCCATCTAAAGAATGGCCCGTTCCATCTGCCGTTGGCCATGGAACACGTGTTCCATTGCAGGTTACCTGAGGTCACATTGCACGTAAGTTGTGGGTAATGACCCACACATTCAATTTTATGTGCCTAAGACCTTCAAAATGTTTCAAATCTCATCATTGTTAGTATTTGCATACCTGTAATAAGATTAGTAAAGCTTTCGAGATTCAATGTGCTTATTCTTGCATCTTTGTTCTCAATTACATAGCTACTATATAATTCATTTATTTGAGAATCTTTGCCAGTTTTACACTGGGGTAAGTTTGGAATAGTCCACTTTTGCGTGGGGGGAGATGGACTGAAATATGCTGTATTTGCTCCCAAGCAAATGTCGGCCTCTCTAGTTAGAATTTAATTCTATTAGTACATCATTCTCTAAAAAATTTGGTTGCCATAAGATGAGTGCAAAAACATATGAAAACGGAAATAAAGTAATGTATAAGAACGCCAGTGTATCCATTACGATCGAAAGCTGGCCGGGGTCCGCGCGGACCCCAAAAGAATTTCTGCACAGAGTTTTCTGCACTGTACTGAGGGACAACTTTTTGGGTGACAATTATCTGAAATTTAAAAAAAAAAACTATTACAGAATATATAGTGCTGGGGTCCGCGCGGACCACGGGTTTACTGTTTAGGGTCAAAGGAAAACTATGGATAAAAGCAATACCTCTCAAGTATACACAATC